ACAACCTTTTCAGCGAGAGTTCTCTCTGAATTGTTGAATTTTTATTTGTACTTTAACAGAGATATAATTAGTTGTCACTCGTCATATACATTAATTTTGTCTCCTTTCCTTGAAACTGATCTTCCTTCCTGGTATAAAAATAAAAGTTTTATTCTTCAAAGGGAAATCAATTCTTTTTTTTTGGTCCAAAAGCTTTCTGAACCGAATAGTTTCTTTGAGATAAAAATCTTTTTTGATTTCTTAAAAAAAATTTTGTTAGAAATTGAATTTATGTGAAATATTATCAAAGTGCTTACTCTTTTCATTTTTTTGCAATTTTTGGTTTTTTTGTTCTATCTTTAGATTCTATATATGACGAATGTTCGTATATCGAGAATCTCCAATAGGTAAACATGACCGAATTTAAAAACATTATCATAAAATTTCCCTTTGGAGATGTTACACTTGAAATGTTCTACTTTCAATAAAAATAATATTTCACTGCAATAAAATATATATTCAGAGAGTCCTTTTAAAAATATTTGATATTCTCCGTAAGAGAGAATTTACAGGGAATGAAAAGTCGAGAACACAAGTAAATATAAGCAAAAAGAGAATCAAAAACATTTCATTTAGATTTTATTTTCATCATTTATATTTTATCCTAAATAGTTGAATTACATTAAATTCCAACGAGTTTGAGAACTGTGATTTAATTTAAAGATAAATTTTGCATAGGGGTCTTTGTCTCGACCAGATTTGTCATTTGCAAGTGAGAGCGACAAAACAATTCCGCTTTGTTACATTCTCCAGTTACTTCAGTCGGGAATGTTTTGGACTTTTGCCAAAACGCTGATGTTTTGAGTTTTCAACAAAAAACTTATCGCTATCTTTAACAGTAATTAAAAAAAAAGTTTCTACTATCTACAAATATATATATATAATTATCAGTTGGGAACTTTTGTCCTCAACTATAGTGGAGATTTTTTTATCAAACTACTTTTATCGTAATTACTTTTTCATTAACTCTTTTTTGCTGTTTCACTAAACTATATGGTGTTTCATTTATCTTTAGATTATTTTTAGGTTTAGGATAACTTTTAGTTTGCTGTGACAATTGGGGTACTTTCCCTTACAGATTTCGTGGGAGGTAGAAAATCTGCTCTATCGGATACCAGGGAAATCCCGCATTAAAGTTTTTTTGAGGTTGACCCCCTTGTTCTGGTTGATCCACTAAAAACCACAATCTATTGAATTGGACCCACATTTAGATTTCGGTTTTTTTACTCCATAGAACTTACGCCAGGATATAAACTTCATAGATGAAGGTTTGTGGAATTCTCTAGCGCAACTATACTTTTGCCAAACTTTCTGACCTATTTTCTCGTTGTCCTTGCGGAAGTCTTCTTTGCTTCCTTGACGGTGACCCAAAGACCTTGGCTACTCTAAATTCTGCGATGACACAGTTAGTGGCTGCAATAATTTTTCCATAAAAAGAGTTTAGTCTCTTCTTGCAGTCTACGAATTTATGATCGACTTCTCCGCACTTGAAGCACGCAGCTGATCTGTCCACCGCCTTACAAGATCTTTCTAAGTATCCTTAGTGATCGTAATGATGAGAAATTGTCACCAAGATTCCATTTTTGATTAGGCCAGACAGTAATAGTCTGAATACTTGTAAAGAATGGTATTTTGGAAGCATTACTGAAAACAGAATTGCAACTGGTCTAGCTTAAGACGGTAATTGTATTTCTTCTTCTTCATCTTGATAATAGGAATTGCTACTATTATGCAATGTGACGATGCGAATCGTCAAGCCATCTGTCGGAATTGTCTCCTTCAACCGTGATCGTTAATTACTAGGATAAGTCAGAAGCCAAAGTTGCTAGTGACCCACTAGTCACGATGAAAGTGTGTCAATCCGCTAATTAATAGTAGAGAAAGTGTCAGAGGTCTGGACCCCAAAGATCATTTAAGGAATAGTAAAAATTTACGATATGCAGGATAAATTTTCCCTTCTTAGGATCCAGAAATTACTAATCACCACAGATGTAGTTTAGTAATAATAATGTTTATACAAATTCTGTATTTTTTCAAACAAATAATAATCACTTTAAAAAAGCGGGAAAAAATGATGTCCTTAGACATTAAAGAAGGAAAGTACTTGCGGCAGTTAATTATTTCAGCTAATTGAGTAAAAAAGGGTACTTAAAATAGAAGCTGTAATAATCTGCTGCTTTTTGTAATGGGTATGAAAATTAGAAAGTAGAATAAGAGACTCTTGAATTTTAGACTCTCTTGCCTTTTAATGAAATGGAAACGACGTAATAACGACCCATAAACTTAAAAGACGTAACGAACCCAAGATGTTTAAAATTTAAATCACCTCAGGTGCCATGTGATGCTACATTTTGTATGCAAATCGCAAATTTAAATAACTTATCATACTGGCATTATTTCTACTACTACTTATTATAGTTATTTTCTTTTACTACTATTGCGAACATGATTATAAATAATATTATTATTACCATTACTAATACTATTATTTCTATCACTGCTATTACTATTACTACTGTTAATAATATTAATATTAATATTCTTACTAATATTATTTCTATCACTGCTACTACTATTACTGCTTTTCTCATAATTACTAATATTTTTACTATCCAGAAGTGGTTGCTACAGATAAATTGGTGTTCTGTTTTATCGACCGCGGATAATTACCGACCGCGGATAACTAAAATCTGTAATTAAAAAAGTAATTCCCTTAGGACTCACTATCAAAAAGAAAGCGCTGAGATACTCTCTCTGAATTTGTTGCCGTTTTTTTTTCTTTACTTCATGGAAAATATTTGACTGTATTGTAAAAGATAGAAGAAGAAAAATTACACCTTTAATTGAATTTTCGAAAAAATAATTTCTTTTTTGCAGAAAACAATTTGTAAATGGAAATTTCAATTTTTTGTGTGGTCTACAGAAGTGGGTTTGAGATTTCGGAAGATAATATTCAGGTTGCATATTCATCCCCCCATTATCATCATTCTTGGGATTAAGTTTGCAATTTCAGAGGCCTTTCGAATTAGGTCGAGTTATTATGTAGATAGATTATATTCTTGAGATTATATTTAAAGATTTACCTCACTTGATTTTGTATATATAAATGTATATTGTGAATGGAACTTCTCCTCATATTTGTCACATCAATGTAATCTAGAAGAAATTATCTCTCAATTTCAAATTCTTCCTTTTTGAAACTTTGAAAACTATCCATTAATTGTTACAGTTGTTTCTCAATTGACCTAATCTAAATTTTTAAGTTTTCCTGACCTCTTTTATTTTCCAGCTCCTTTTATATGTTTTTTCATTGAAATAATAGATGGTATGTTTACCCCTTGACCAAAAAACATTTTAAATCATTTTCTATATTAAAAATTAATCCAACCTTTTTTTAATTATACATTTTCCTTGACCTAGAACTTTTAGGTTATGTTGACCCATCAAATCTAACCTGAATTTTGATATTAATATTCTCCAACACTGTAAATTTAGTGGCGAAAGGTTAAAAATAAAAAATTGAAAATAAGTGAAAGTGGAATAAATGAATAATTTCGTTCATTTGAAGCAATTCGACAGCATTTCAAATTGCTAATGCAAATTGGATTAGAGAGTATATTTATAATTGAGGAATGTCAAAAGCACTCAGCTATCATTGTTCTCTCTTCTCAAAATATACAGATAGATATAAAATAAATGGTTCTTTATTCAGAAATCAATAGTGCGAAGAGAAAAAATGTTTCAATTGTAATTGTTGAGTTAATTTTTTTTTCATTTCCAAATCCTGAATTTGTGAAATTCACCAAAAAAAATAGTAAAACAAAAAAATGCAATTTAGCAATACTGTTTGTTAATTACGCATCACGGCATACATATATGTGTGTACTTTACGTTTGAATTCATATGCGAATCAGAGACTTTAATTTTCAGCTGTATACAGTACAAATATGTATTCTATCGAAACAATCAATAATTCACTTTTATTCATATGAAATGAAAAAAAAAAATTTTAAATCATATTTTTCGACAAAAATAAAAAAAAATTGTTGTCATTCATTTACTTCTTCAGTCAAGTGACAAAATTTGATATCAAATTCTTAATCAGCGACCCCAAGAACCCCTGGGTAATAAATTTCGTGCGAATCCGTTGATTTTTTAAAAATTCGGCCGCCATATTGGATCCGCCATTTTGAATTTCTAAAAATTAACACCAAATTCGTAATCAGCGACCCTAAAAACCCCCGAGTGACAAGTTTCTATCGAATTCGTTGACTTTTAAAAAATTTGGTCGCCATATTGGATCCGCCATTTTGAATTTTGCAATTCTGACCTTCAAATACGTAATTTTTTAGAAAAAATCGAAACACGCTGTCGAATATTCTCAGAGTTACAGTCTTTCACTTCTGAACATTCCTTTAAATCTTAAAAAAACTTAATTTGGCTCTAAGATATTCATATTTTTAACGATTACGTATTTGAAGGTGAGAATTTCAAAATTCAAAATGGCGGATCCAATATGGCGGTCGTATTTTCTTAAAGTCAACGGATTTGATAGAAACTTGTTACTCGGTGGTTTTCGGGGTCGCTGATTACGAATCTGATATCAGATTTTCAAAATTCAAAATGGCGGATCCAATATGGCGGACATAAAAAATTAAAAATCGACTGAATTTGCTTGAAACTAGTTACTCGGGGGTTTTTGGGATCGCTGATTACGAATCTGATATCAGATTTTCAAAATTCAAAATGGCGGATCCAATATGGCGGACGTAATTTTGAAAAATAAAGGAATACACATGAAATTTGTTACTCGGGGGTTTTTGGGATCGCTGATTACGAATCTGCTGTCAGATTTTCAAAATTGAAGATTTTAGTTGTAAGATTAAAGAAATAAAAAATATTTTAAGATATTTTTGTTTTAATTGTCACTAATTTTGTTTTGTCTCTCTTTTTTTTAAAAGGAAACATGGTGTCGAAGATGGAAAAATATTTCACGACGAAGTCTTTCAAGTTCATCAAATACATTTGCACCAATATTGAGTCCTGTGATAGGAAAGGAAGTGTCGAGGGAATCGGTCGTTATGCGAGACATGACGACAATGGATATCAAGGATTCCAAAGATTTTGTAAAAGAATCGAAAGTAGAGGAAAAAAATCCAAAGGAATCGAAAACGAAGAGTATTAAGGAAAAAGTTTCATCCCTACTTAATAGCAGCACAAATGCTCCTGAGACTTCCGGTATGTTCTTTATTTATATACATTTTCTCTCTTTCTCATAAAACTATGAAATCCCACACATAAAATCTGAGATTTTCCAAAAGCTCTTCTTCAAGTCACGTGGCTTTCTTTCTCATCCATTTTGAGAGAAAGAGAGAATGGAAAAAAGGAAATGGTACAAAATTTCCTAAATTACCTTCACGTGAAAATTTTTTACGATCCGACAGCATTAAATTTCATCGTAAATTTAAATTATATACTTTTTTAAATGAAAAAAAGTTGCCACTAAAATTTTACAACCCTTACAATTTTTATAAAAGTGCTATAAAAATGCATTAATTATTAAATTTAATTTTGTTTCAAATTTTTCTAATTCAACTATGGTTGAAAAAAGTAAATATTTAGTTAAAAACTGAACTAATAAAAAAAGTTATCAAGGATTGAGTTTTTTAACCAAATTTCACAAAAAGTTTTGTTTTTTTTACTTTTATTTACAATTGCAATAAAATATCAACTATTATAATTGCACTTTCCACAAAAAATTCACTACAGTTACAATATTATTTTCTTAAGAAATACACGAAACAAAAAAATAAAAAAAAATTCTAAAGAAGATAAAATTATAAATGAAAGTCGTTCATAAATAAAATACAATATTGACTTGCAGAAATCAAATTTTCATTTTCTTTTTCAAAAATAAAAATTGATAGACGTAATTGTTCTTCATTTCTTTTTCTAATTAATACATATTATTTTCTATATTTAATTTCTGTAAATTGAAATTAAATGTCGAATTTTTTTTTTAACTTTGATTATCAATGCCATTGAGACTGTCTTCAAGTATTTCAAATTCCTCGAATTCCATTTTATCGAATTCAGTATTCTTTCGCCATCCATTTTCATTAATTTGCCATTTTGACAATGCACTAAATCGTGAATTTGATTCATCAATTTTTCCCAATTTAAAATCAGCTCGAAAACCTTTGCCCTCATCTTTCTTTGGCTCCGAGCCAATCACAACCGGTGGCTCCTTCTTCTTTGATTCCTTAATCTCCTCGTGACTCATCTCCTGTCTCTCCATTGATGATAATTCAATACTTGGCATCTCGGCTATTGTACATTGTCTGAAAATTGAGAATTTTCGAATTATTGTTATTATTTCTTTGAGCACTCTTTATGATATGAGAAAAAAAAATTGTTTCCTTTTTCGAAATAACAGCGAATCGATTATGGAAATAAAGGAAACGTTTAATATTTAGATAAAAAGGTTTTTAATTAAATATTGTTGAAACGTTTATAAAAAGGTGTAAAAGGGAAAGAAAAGAAAAAATGTTTTAAATCCCTTGAATATTGGAAAATATTTGTAAAAGTGGAACAATGTAGTAAATTGTGAGATTTAGCTTAAATCAGAATTTTTGAAAGGGGAACAATGTAGTAAATTGTGGGAATTACCTTAAATCAGAATTTTTTTCCACCTTGACCTTTTCTTCGACGACTTTTCCAGTGAGCTCCAATCGACTATCGCAGGAATTGCTTTTAACTAGACGGAACTTCACATAGTCCTGTAATTGATTTCTCCTTCTCGATAGTTTATTATTCAATGGCGAGATAATTGGTCCATTGTAGCTATTAACCACTTTCCCACCGTAATACGTAATGGACGTTCCACATTCGCGAATTTTCCTCAAAACATCCTGGGAGACGTAGTGACCCGGATCACGGTCGTCCTCGACTTCCTCGTCCTGATAAAGATAGTGAAAAAGAAAAATTTTGATATGAAGATTTTAAATGAGAAGAAGGGAGATAAAGGGAAACAGATTAATTGAAAATGAGGTGTGTAGGTACAGTCACTTTTGTTGGCAATTTAGGCGCTGTGTCACAGAAAAAAAACGTAGCTCCGGTAGTGCAAAGGGAAGTCAAGTCTTAGCTGCTAAGACTTCAGGGTAAGACGTATGCTGACGTTTTGGGTAAGCTTCGCAAAGAGGTTAATCCGGATGCCAGTCACTCAAGAGAAAGAAGAAGGAAACACCCCAAAGAAGATGGACACAATTGGGGCGGAAACGCCAAAGCCAGAATTACCAGAATTAGAAAGAAATTCTATGAGGGGATCGACAATGGTCATCAGTGTAGTTCAGGGTAAGACGTATGCTGACGTTTCGGGTAAGCTTCGCAAGGAGGTTAACCCGGATTCCAGTCACTCAAGAGTCGTAGTTGCAAGAGCTACGAAGAAGGGAGATCTCCTGATTAAAATCGGAGGCGACTCCAATAAAAAGACCTTCCCTGCAGAGGTTACCAAAGCGGTAGAAGGCATATGTAAGGTAGTCTGTGGATCGAAGGGTAACGCTGGAGATCCGTGACTTGGATTGTCTTACCCAAATAGAAAAGCTCTAGGAAGTGTTGGTAGATGTCCTGAAGAAGCCAGGAAGCAGGAAGGTGACTGTCCTTGGACCAAATCTACAAGGAATGAAACTTGCGGTTATAGTCACCGACCCAGAGGAAGAGGAAAAATTTCAGGAATTTGAACGTATAAAGATAGGCTTTATGTCGTGTCCAATTAGGAAAAGAGTAATGGTCACAAGGTATCATCAGTACCTTGATTACTGACACATAGGAAGAGATTGTAAGACTGACATAGTGCCTGCATGCTTCAGGTGCGGAGAAGTCGATCATAAGTTCGTAAACTGTAAAAGAAGCCCAAGCTGCTTCCTTTGTAAGGAAAAGTATGAATGAAGAGTAAAAAAGTCAGAATGGAGGATAAAATACCTGACAATCAATTTCCTCATCCTCAGAAGACGTACACGGTGGTGCACTTCCATTGTCCGTGTCCGGATAATCACTAGAAACGCCGGAACTGACACTTCCCGCATCCCAATTATGATGACGATTATTCTGATGAAATCTACTCATTCGATTCTTGTTCGAGAAATTCGAATCACTTGGCGACGTGTGTCCACTCCTTGCCTCGAAAGATTGTGCCAGAATTCTCGTCTTTGATTCACTACGCGGACTCCCTGGCTCATCCTTACCACCAATTGATGCCGACGATATTGTCTTCTTCTCCAAACTCTCAAAATGTCTTGTCAAATCCTTCGCTCTACTCGAACTCCGCGATCTGCTCGAAGATTACGATCGAAAAACATAATTTCTCCTTTAGAAAGTGAAAAAAGATTTGGGAAAGGAGGAGATTAAGGGGAAAGAAGAAAAGGAGTAGAATCTAGAAAAAAGTTTTTCTTACCTACTCTCCCGAAGTTTGTCCACTCCATCATAAAATTCCCTATCTTCATCCTTAGCGCTATCCTTCCCACTTAGATCCTTCATACTCAAACTTTTCGTATCCTTCTCCAAATTCTTCTTAGCCCTGAAAGTTTCTTCAAACATTCGTGTGACATTCTTCACAGTATCTGGATTCGGAAGTTCATCATCGATCAACTCCTTATTAATTCTTATCGGATGATAGAAGAAATGCTTCCTGATTAAACCCTGCCTAGGACATGTTCTTGATTTCTCGTCAAAATTCTTTCTCTCCCCTACAGAATCCCGCTTCTTTTGGGTTGCACCCGACACTCGACATGTTGGCAAACTTTTACTCTTCACATTCATCGATGGCTTCCTCTCCACTTCGGCACGAACCGGTTCAATAATAACGACATTATTGTCCAACAGTAATTCCTGAAAGGAATACTCCCGAAGATAGTCCATCAATCCTTCGTAAGTTACGTCACCAGTGGACGTACTAAAGATACTCTTTCCAAAAAGATTCGATTTAACTATTTTGTATCGAACATGATTGAATTCAGGTTCACCTTGACATTCCAGTGAATCTACACAACTTCTCGATCTTGTCAAATTTGTCCGATTCTTATAATTAAGTTCATCAGTATCTCTTTCTTGCTTTTGTAATTCAGTTTTTGTTTCTACTTTCCCGGGGGATTTTTCTTTACTATCGTCGACTGATTGTCTCCTAATGCTTCCAATATCTGAACCTAGTCCTAGATCTGAACTTTCGGAGTGTGCCTCGAAACCTAGAGTTCCCTTGACTACATTACAAGCTTTACCGAAAATATTCGACGTCTCCTTGACGATTCTTTCAAATCTTCCTTCAGTAGGGGAATCAGTATCTTTCGCGATACTTTTCTTTTCGAAAAAATTTCTCGCTGTTTCAATACTTTTTTTCGTTTCAATTAATTCCTCACTGGGAGTTTCTTGATGTGTTTTATTACAACGTTTCGTGAGATCATTGTCAATGATTTTTAAGACCTGAGGTCTTCGGGACATTTCTTCTTCCTCGTCCGATATCCAAATGGACCTAACGTCCTCTGCTTCTTCAACTTTAAATTTCTCCTCACAAGGTGTGACAATAGCCACATTCGTTTTGTACTTGTCAGCCAAAGTTTTACTCAGTTCGTTAACAGTGATCGGACGGGGAAAGGGATTTCTAGCTTGGAATAATGTTGGTTCTTCCTGCACATCTATTTTCTGAAATTCCTCTAACTTCTCCTCAGAATTGTGAGTTATTTTTGTTTCGTTCAGAGGGGAAATAATTTGTTCTTGTTCAGGAATTGTTTCTACTCCCTTCTCTTCCTCTTTTTGCTCTCCTGTGTCATCGAGTATCGTTGCCTCGGACAATTTTTGCTCTTGGAGTTTCTCCTGCTTCTTTTGCTCCTGACTGCCTATCCTCTCCCAAAAGTCTTTTCTCTCCTGTTTTGTGGGACTCACTAAATCTATCCAAAATCCCTTCCTTGGATCGCTAACCTCGTCCTCCTGATTTTTGGACTTCTCCTCATCTGTCTCGTTGTTTCCGGTGGTGGAGAAGAAATCCTTGATGCTCTCCTTATCGCTACCGGTCAGGATACCGTCGAAAAACTCGTCCCTTTCTTTACATCGACTTCGGCTCGGAAGTTTTGGAGTTGATTCCTCTAGATGGGAATTCGAAATTGGAAGGAGATTCAGAACGTCGAAATACTCGAGTTCGTCGTCGTCCTCGAAGAGAATACTGTCGAGACTGCGGTGCTCTTTTCGCTTTCGTTTCACCTGAAAATAAAGAAGAGAATTAATTATTTTAGCGTATTTTTTTTCTAACTACGGAGGGCAATCAGCGTTGGCGGCTCCCTTCCCTATCTCCGACAGATTCTTCCCGATCCCATTTTCCCCACCAGACTTCGGTATCTATTTAGAGCTGTCGCCTTCCCTCCCTAACGCCTGGGGGTAGATTCTGTAACTTTTCCACTTCCCACATTTATTTCCCACCTTCCGCTTTCGACTCCTAATGGTGGGAAAGTAAAACGTGGGAATGGGAAGTGGAAGGAGGGAAGTGAGAGTGGAAAGTGAATGTGGGCAGTGGAAGTGGAAAGACGAAAGTGAGAGTAATAAGTGAAAGTGAGGGTGAAAAGTGAGAGTGGAAGGTGGAAAGGGAGAGTGAAAATGGAAGCTGGAAAGTGAGAGTGGGAAGTGGGAGTGGAAAGGGAAAATAGAAGAAAAAGTGTAAGGAGGGGTGGGAGAGTAAAATGGGAAGTGTAAGGTGGGATGGGTGAGTGGGTGGAGAAGTGGAAGGAAGTAAGATAGAGTGTAAGTGGAATGGATGGTGGGAAGGGAAAGTGGATGGAGGAAAGGGAGAGCGTAAGTGGAAGGTTTAAAGTGCGAGTGGAACGTGGGAAGGGAGAATGGAAGGAAAAGTGAAAAGAGGGGTGGGAGAGTGAAAGGGGAAGTGGAAGGTTGGAAGAGAAAGTAGGAGTGGATGGTAGGAAGGGAAGCGGGAGGAGGAAAGGGAGAGTAAAAGTGGAAGGTGGGAATGGATGGTAGGAAGGGAAGCGGGAGGAGGGAAGGGAGAGTGAAAGTGGAAGGTGGGAAGTGCGAGTGGAAAGTGTCAATGGATGGTGGGAAGGGAAAGTGGATGGAGGGGAGAGAGAGTGGAAATAGAAGGTGGGAAGTGGAAGGAGGGAAGGGAAAGTGGATGGAGGGGAGGGAGAGTGAAAGTGGAAGGTGGGAAGTTCGAGTGGAAAGTGGGAGTGGAAGGTGGGAAGGGAGAATGAAAGGAAGAGTGAAAAGAGTAGAGGGAGAGTGAAAGAGGAAGTGGAAGGTGGGAAGGGAGAGTGGTTGGAGAAATGAAAGGAGGGAAGGGGGAGTGGAAGTGTAAGGTGGAAAGGGGAAGTGAAAGGAGGGAAGGGAGAGTGAAAGTGGGAATGGATGGTGGGAAGGAAGAATGAAAGGGGGAATGGAAGGTGGGAAGGAAATGTGGAAGGGGGAGTGGAAGGAAGAATGGAAGGTGGGAAGGGAGTGTGGAAGGGGGAGTGGAAGGGGAAATGGAAGGTGGGAAGTGGATGGTGGGAAGTGAGAGTAAGAGGTGGAAAGAGAGTGGGAAGTGGGAAAGTTACAAAATCGACCCCTGTCCAATTAGGGCTGGCGCCTTCCCTCCTTAACTCCAACCAATCATCACCCACGTCTCCCTTCTCCTAAACCCCAAACAACATAATTACCTGAGTATAAATACAATCGAGACTTCGATTTTCTTCAAGTGGCCAATTGTCCTCCACAATTTCAACGAGTCCCGAAACGGTGTCGAGATTCTGCACACTGCAATACTTTCGCGATGGATCGGGCCAGTCTAGAATGTTGAGGCGATCCGATTCCGATCTATGTCCCCGCACATAAGGCAGGGGATCCGGAAGTAATGTTAGAGGTGGTGGTGCGTACAGAGTGCAGGACTGATAGGACCTTGTGTCAGTAAATTTGTCATAGGAATCAGAGAGATGCTGCTGACTTTTTGACAATCTGAAAATGGAATCCAAAGTAAAAAAGAAAGTCACATTTTGAATTTATTTATTTTTATTCTTGTTCATATTATTATTATATTGAAAATATTTAAAATTATGTAATCCACGTTAGTTTAAAAGAAAAAGTACATCAAAAAAACAGTGAAACACTGTATATTGGATACACATTATATTTTTAAGTGACAATTCCGTTTGAGTAAAAGGTCGATGTGTCCTTCGTTTTGCTTTTCTTTGCGACAGGAAAAAAAGTGGCCAGAAAATTTAATCAAGCTTCTAATAAAAGCAACGTAAAAATAGTCCGATAATGATGAACGAGCGCAATTTTTTTTTTTAAAAGTCTTTTACAAAATAAAATTGAATAAAAAAAATGATTAATTTCCTCGATTCAAAGGAACAATGCTTCTTTTGATGTTGGACATATTTCAATTAATGAAATTTCTCAGTGCATTAAATATTGTACATTTTTTCAATACTTGAATTTTTCGTAATTTTAATTATCAACTTGGGAGAGAAAAGTGACTTAGAAATTCCATCGAAATTGCAATAATAATAATAATAGAAAAATTGTGAAATTGCATAATTTTGACCAAAACCACTTGAATTCGGATTGAATTTAAAATTAAGAGTATGTTTGGTTTTTTCTTAAACGAATGATTTTAAATTAAAGAATTATGAATTTTTCTATCACTGCGAAATTAAAAATAGTGAAAGTAATTTTTCCCAATTCGTTGAAATATGTACCTGTCTTTGAGAGAATTACGATCAATCAATTTTGCTCTTGGAATCAATTGAGGCCTTCGGGTCAAGTTGAAATTAGGCTCGTTAATTTGAAAATGAGGAATCTCTCGAGTGTAGCGTGAGTCGTCTTCGGAAATGACGGCCAAACTTCTCGTCCGCTTTAAAAGCTTCCGACGTTCCTGAGTCGATGATTGACTTCCATGACTGTCACATTGACTCCCTTCACTATAAATCGAAATTTAATTTTAATTATTTCTATATAAACAAATCAATTTAATGTAGATCACTTTTGTCCTGAATTCTGAATTCAAATAGTTTTTTTATGAATTCTAACTGAAGATTCTTTAAGAATTCCAAAATAACAATAATAATAATAATAATTTAGAAATCAGAATCGAAATTCCGTTTGCTTTTTATTGGAATTCTAAAAGAAAATTTGTAGAAGGGTATTAAAAAAATTAATTTAATCAATTAAATTAAAAAAATGATACTAATTAACATTACAGCTGTTACATAAAAAATTCACCTTATTCCGAAATAGTTCACAATTTTTTACTTTCATTTCTAAATCGACGTCTTTCATTAAAACGAACATTCAAAGAATCTAAATTAGTATCATTTCCAGACTCGTTTGTGTTAAATTTACACTTGGCTGCCTACAGAAATGGATATATTCTCTCTCTCTCTCTCTCTCTCTCTCTCTCTCTCTCTCTCTCTCTCTCTCTCTCTCTCTCTCTCTCTCTCTCTCTCTCTCTCTCTCTCTCTAAAAAAAATGAATCACAATGACAAAGCGAAATAATTGTTTTTTGTCCTAAAATAGAATTTAAAAAATTACACAGAAACTCTCCTCTATATGTTTGTTGTTACCATTAAATGTGGTAATAACAAAAATTGTGACAAAAAAACAAAGCGTGAAAACTTTCTCCAACTTTGTTTTTTTACTGTATTTGTACTCTATATATTGACACAAAACATTATAAATTTACTTTCTGCACGTTCGAGAGTTTCTTTTAAAATGATTGTGTTTTACAGTGTGGAAAAGTAGTTCAGTGGAATATGAGATGAATGTTGTTAGGTCAGTTGGTGATGGTATTTTTTTTTGAAGAAGAAACGAGAGGAGTAAAGTATAGTTACGTTATAACTGACAATAAAGTTGCGTAACAATATTTTCGCCGTGTGTTCCAAACGAATACAATGCAATGACGATACGCTTTTTGGTTCTCCGGCGTCTATATAGTGACGTGAAGTTTAAGTATTTAAAACTAGACTCGAGAGACGTGGAAATTGCCTCTTGGAAGTTTGAGAGAGAAAAGAAATTTTTCTTTTCCAATGTACTGTTGCTTTTCTATTGTTGCTCTTGAAATTGGAATTATTTTATTGTTTATTTAACTTGGTTGTTGTGGAATTTTTCAGATGCTTTAATTTTTGATGCTGTGGAATTTGTTTTGTTGATTAATTTTAGTCTTTTTACCATTAGTATTAGTACACAACATCATGGAAGGTTTGCTACTTCAGAAATTGGAATTGCTGTCAAATAGATGAATGGTCACTTTCTTAATGATTGCTGATTTAAAATTAGCACAGGTTTAAACAGTGTTTGCAAATTCAAAATCAGTACCACTATCAACAACATTTTCAAATTCAAAGTTAGTACCACTATTAACAACATTTGCATCTTCAAACTTAGTACCACTATGAAGAACATTTCTATCAACAACATTTTGAACTTTAAAGTTAGTACCCCTATCAACAACATTTGGAACTTTAAAGTTAGTACCACTATCAACAACATTTGCAGTTGTTGATAGGTTTTGCTCCCTCAAAATCAGGACCATTATCATTCGTGCAATTAGTTATGAAGAAGCAAACATTTCAATGTTTGCTTCTTCATAATTAATTGCACTGTTTGCAATGTTTACTGCATCAGAATTAAGACCAACATTTATTGTTTGCAATTTAACAATTAGTACCACTAGTGTTTAGTACTTTAGAATAAGTTCCACTATCTGCAGTGTTTGATTCTTCATAACTTGTATCATTGCCAATAGTATTTGTTGCATCGGAATTAGTAGCATCAACAACATTTGGTGTTTCAATACAATTAACATCAACAACATTTGCAGTTTCAAAACATTTAACAACCACAACATTTACAGTTTCAAAATAATTAACATCGACAACATTTGCACCTGAAAAATGAGTAACATCAACTATACAGTGTTTGTTAATACAGTTTTTTTGTTCAACATTTTATACAATGTTTGTTGATTCAGAAGTAGAGTATCCCAACCGGCAATGTTTGCTATTTGGAAACTAGAATCATTATCTACAGTGTTTGTTGCTTTAGAATCTGCAACATTTGCTACTTCCAAACTAAAATCATTATCTGCAGTGTTTTTATCTTAATGATTAATAACATTGTCTATAATGTTTGATGCTTTAAAATTTTTACGACTATCTTTAATGTTTGTTGCTTTAGAAGTAACACAATATTATCAGCAAGTTTTGCTCCTTCAAAATTAGTGCCACTAATTTAAAGTCACATTTGAGGCAAACTATCAATTTTACCCCAAATCGAAAAATCGATTTTAAACTCAATCTAAGGTCTGGAGAATGTTAGTTAAATTTCCCTCAAACTCGAGCTTAATTCAAGTGAGAAGTGCTTCTCGTGTTTCTCCATTGGATAAACCGCACTTGACACTTTCAGAGTGAGGGCGAACGGAAGAGAGAGAAAGAGAGACTTAATATGGGTGTGGTGTTGTGCTCATCTGCATGAGTGTGTGACAACATAAATACCACTTAATAAATTTCTTGTTTACTGCCTTTTATGATTTGTTTTTCAAAAAAACATTGAAAATTAAATAACTTCTCACTTTCTTTCTCTACTTTCTGTAACTATTAATTAGTTTCAATTTCTTTTACTAGCAGCCTAAGAGAAGCTTTTTTGGAATCTCAAAGAAAGATGCAACCAGAAGCTTTAGGGAAGCTTTTCTGAAAGTGCAAAGGAAGATTTAGAAACACTTTTCTCAAACTTTAGAAGAAGCTTTATAGGAAAGCTTTCATGAAACTTCAAATGAAGCTTGCAGTGAAACTTTACAAATTTCATAAAGCACCAATTGGAAAGCTTTCAAAAAATTTCAAACTAAAACTTCCTTAAAGCTTTCAATTGAAGCTTTCCTAAAGTTTCTCGTGGAAAATTTCCAAAGTTTCCCAGGGAACCTTCCTTAAAATTTAAATAGATAATTTCCATGAAAATTATTTTGCTGTGTGGAATAAATCATATTAAAAAAGTGGAAAAAAGCTCTTTAAAGAAGAGATCAATTGAGATGCGATGAATGTCAAACCACAAGAGAATATTGATTTCCCTAATGAGCCACTAGCTTGTCGGATGAGAATTACTTGTTGAGAGAGAGAGAGAGAAAGAGAGTACATGAACAAATTAACTTCTGCAAATAAAACACACCGTTAAGCACACGATTAATTTTCATTCCATCATTATAATCCTGTGATAAGAGTCTATAAATAGACAAAATATTGTTTAAACGAAATTTAATTTTCCACAAGTTAGAAATTTATTTGTCGTAAGAAATTTTCATTAAATTCAATTCTTATTAATTTTTTTTATAGAAATTAATTTCTAATGTGCAAATTTAAAAAAAAATCTAATTGTTAATATTGGTTCTTTTGGACAGAATTTCATTGTTATTAAAAAAATTTGTTATTTAACAATTACAATTGTTAAATAATAATAAAAATTGTTAAGAAACAATTCTTTTTGTTAAGTAATAATTCCAATTTTTAAATGAAAATTCCATAGTTAAATAATAGTGTCAAATGTTAAATAAAAATTTCAATCGTTAGTTAACAATTTCAGTTGTTGAACAACAATTTTCAATAGTTAAATAACAATTTTCAGTTGTAAAAAAACAATTTCAATTTTTAAGTAACAATTTCTATTTAAGTTATTCTAAATTAATTATTTTGCTAAAAACAATGAGAAATTCCGATTCTTAAATAAAAATTTACAATCGTTAAATAACAATTTTCAGTAATAAAAAACAATTTCAATTTTTAAATAACAATTTATTTTTATGTTATACTAAATTAATTGTTAAACAATGTGAAATTGCAATTGTTAATTAAAAATTCCAATTCTTAAATAACAATAACAATTGTTTAAAAACAAATTTACTTGTTAAATAACTATATCAGATGTTAAATTCTAATTGTTAATTAAAAATTCCTATTGTCAGATAACAAATTCAATTGTTAATTAAAATCCCTATTGTTAAATAACAATTTCAATTGTTAATTAAAAATTCCTATTGTCAGATAACAATTTTAATTGTTAATTAAAAATTCCTATTGTTATATAACAATTTGAAGTGTTAATTAAAAATTCCTATTGTTAAATAACAATTTTAAATGTTAAATATGAATTTCAATTGATAAATAAAAATTCCAATTATTAAATAACAGTTCCAATTATTAATTAAAAATTCGTATTGTAAAATAACAATTTCAATTGTTAATTAAAAATTCCTATTGTTAAAGAACAATTTCAATTGTTAATTAAAAATTCCTATTGTCAGATAACAATTTCAATTGTTAATTAAAAATTCCTATTGTTAAAGAACAATTTCAATTGTTAATTAAAAATCCCTATTATTAAATAACAATTTCAATTGTTAATTAAAAATTCCTACTGTTTAATAACAATTTCAATTGTTAATTAAAAATTCCTATTCTTAAATAACAATTTAAAAATGTTTAACAATTTCGAAAATTAAATATGAATTTCAATTGATAAATAAAAATTCCTATTGTTAAAGAACAATTTCAATTGTTAATTAAAAATCCCTATTATTAAATAACAATTTCAATTGTTAATTAAAAATTCCTACTGTTTAATAACAATTTCAATTGTTAATTAAAAATTCCTATTCTTAAATAACAATTTAAAAATTTTTAACAATTTCGAAAATTAAATATGAATTTCAATTGATAAATAAAAATTCATATTGTTAAATAACAGTTCCACTTGTAAAATAAAAATTCCAATTGTTAAATAACAGTTTCAATTTTTAAATAACAATTTCAGTTGTTAAATAGCAAGTTTCAATTTTTTAACAACAATTTTCAATTTTTTAAAATAACAATTTCTTATGAAACAAATACTAAATTCACTGTTTTGCAAAAAACAATGCGTGAAAATTATTGTGGAT